TTTATTTTTGGTCTTTTTGAGACAGGGTCTCCCTATAGCCCCAGCTGTCCCGGAACTCACTATGTGGACCAGGCTGGCCTTGAACTCACAGAGATCCACCTGCCTCTGCCTCCTGAGTGCTGGGATTTAGCTGCCTTATCTTTAAAAAGCTATATTGTAGCTGTGTGCTTTTAGGGTAGAAATACCCATTACAGCACATTCGGTAGAACCTTGTTCTAAGGGTCTCACTGTCACTAGTATTTCATATTGGCGAGATTATTGACAACCCTTCTTGTTTTGAGTTGTAGTCCCATCAGTGCATAAAGATTTTCCTCTAGCACTTACAGTAAATAGCCCAAGCTAGCCTAGAACTGGAAAACCTGGGTAAGCCTCCTGCTGGGATTATAAATGTGTGCTTCCATGCCTGGCCTTCTGATACCTTTCTTTTTTATTAAAAAAAAATCATATTTTATATTTTATTTTATGTTTATAAGTGTTTTGCTTGCATATATGTATATGCACCAGTTGTGTGCCTGGTGCCCTCAGAGGTCAGAAGAGGGCATTGAATCCCCTGGAACTGGAGTTATGAATGGTTGTTAGCTGCCATATGGGTGCTGGGAACCAAACCCAGGTCCTCTGCAAGGGCAGCCAGTACTCTTAACCACTGAGCCAACTCTCCAGCCTATGACATCACTTGCTCCAAACATATTCCTCCCATTCCTAAGTTTGTCATTTGACAGTCAGTCCCAGGTTGCCTTTTATCTAACTTTGGACATTTTTCCAAATGGAGCTAAGTATTCTGTTGTTTCTGATGTTTGTTTCAAATTCATTGCAAGATAATAAAAGTGAAACAATTGTATTATAAATAATGTCTGAATATTTGAAAACTTACACCATACAGTGGTGGGTATGAAACATGGCTGTTTTTAGTGTTGCATAGCAGCTTTAGATGTCAGGTAGGCACTGATAGGATTTAACTATTTATTAGATACAGAGGGTATTTTTGTTTTGTTTTTTTGTTTGTTTGTTTTCCTTTTTAACTCACAAGACATTTCAGAAGCTCCTCAGGCTTTAAATACTATCTACTTCCTCCAATGATTGGTTATGTTCTATTTTCAGAGTCTTTTTTTTTTCTTTTAGAAACCTTAGATGACTTGACTAATTTGGTGGTAAAGTTGTTTTCTGAAGTAGAGAATAAAAATGTCCCATTGCCAGAATTTCCTGAGCACCCTTTTCAAGAAGAACATCTTAGAGTAAGTGCACACATTCTGTTATTTCTTTTTTTAAATTTGTGGGCATGACCATCATGATAATCAAATCAAGTTTATATGTGTTGGAAACATTTATAAACAAAAAGACACCAGTATGTTTTGATCTTTGTATGCTGAGAGTAGTTTTGGTAGCTGTTGCCTTGGCAAGCTATTAAAGGTGTTATTTAGTGCCAGAAGGCAAGTATCCAAAGCTGTCTTAGAACCTAGGTCACCAAACGTGGGTCACTTTGCCCATACAATAGAATCCCACTAAAACAGCGCCTGATTAATTTATTTCTTTGTGGTCCGTTCTTTGTGGTCTGGCAACTGATTATAATTTGTAAATTTTTCACTCAGTAGAAGTTGTATACAGCAAATCTTTTGTGATTTGTCTTTCCCCCCACCAGCAACTTTATAAAATAGTACCCATTAAGGATATTAGGAATCTTTATGTGACGTTCCCCATACCAGATCTTCAGCAATACTACAAATCAAATCCTGGTCATTATCTTGGTCATCTGATTGGGCACGAAGGTCCCGGAAGCCTGTTATCAGAACTCAAATCAAAGGGTAAGTGTCTTGGAAGCCCCTTCAGATGCAGAAGCCCACACATCTTTCTCTCCCATTTTCTCCTGGATGTTTTCCAATGAAGGAATATTTTTAGAAGAAACTACTTAGGGTTATAAGTGAATGGTAATTGTGAGTGTGCTTCTGTTTTTTGCTTTGGAACTCTCTTTTTTCATAATCTTCATCATTAATCAGTGAAGGTAGATATTTCAAAAGATACCATCGTGCATGTTAGAATCAAACCCAGACCTTTGTGCATGCTAGGCAGACACTGTCACTGATCCATATTCCCACGTATGCTTTAAATGGTAACAGGCTAAAAAGTAAAAACCCAGTGAGTGCAGTGACACATTCCTGCAATCCCACCTATCAGGAGGCTGAGGCATGAGGACCAACAATTCAAGATCAACTTGGACTTTATAGTTTCAGGCCAGCCAGGGCCATATAGTGAGACCCTGTCTCAAAACAAAGTAACATACAAATGAAAAAAAAAAGAAAAGCCCAATGGAGTTTTTAAACCATATCTGTGAAACACTGTATATCTTATTTGTTTGCTTGCTCTGATCCATCAAATCAGAAAGCCAGGGGTTCTAGAAAATAGATGATTTTCAAAGCCCCTCCTATTCCTTGCTAGTAAATAAAATTTAAGCACAAGATCTTATTCTTGTTGGGAATTGATTTACTTTCTGAGGTAATTTTTTTTCTGTAAGGTCCATTTTATTTTTTTTTATGTGTATGCATGTATTGCCTGCATGTAGGTAAGTGCACCTGTGTCGTGCAATGCCCACAGAGGACAGAAGAGGCCTTTGGATCCCTTGAAACTGGAGTTACGGACAGTTGTTAGCTGCCACGTGAGTGCTAGGATTCGAACCCAAGTCTTCTGCAAGAACATCTAGTGTTCTTAACTGCTGAGCCATCTCTCCAGCCCCCATAAGGTCCATTTTAATCTCTTCAAATGTGTAGTGTAGATTTTAGCCCCACATAGTGTGCTGGTGTACACCTGTAATCCCAGTGCTCAAGAGCCTGTAGGAGCAGCATCACTGAGATAAAGCCCAGCCTAAGTCTCATAGTGAGCCTTGGTCTTGCATAGCAAGACTTTGTCCCCAAAATACCAAAAAAACAGGGCTAGTGAGATAACTCAGCTGGTAATGGCACTTGCTGCCAGGCCTGACAACCCGAGTTCAAGCCACAAGAGTCATATGGAAAAAAACTGACTCCTAAAAGTTGTCCTCTGACCTACACACACACACACACACACACGAATAAATACACATAATGACAAAAGAAGGGGCACTGGGAGTCTTTGAACATGACCTACCACCCAAGTGTGAGGACCAGAGTTCAGATTCTCAGAACCCATATATATTCCAGGTGGGCATTGCAGCCTGCCAGTAATTCCAGCCTTAGAAGACAGACAAGGGATTCCCAGTGCAATCTGGCCATTGGGACTAGTCATTTTGGTGAGTTTTGGGTTTGATTGAGAGACCCCATATCAATGAATAAAGTAGAAGAGCAATTGAGGAAGATTCCCAACATCAACCCTTGAGCCTCCATGTGCATGTGCACCCAGACATGTGTGCTAACATACATGCCAACCTGCATACACACATATGCACACCACACACACTTTTTTTTTTTTTTTTTTTTTAAAGAACCAAAAACAAAACAAAAAATACCCAGGGTCAAAATGATGACCTGACATATTGCCAAGTTTCATGACCTGAGTTCTATCCTTGGAACCAACATGGTGGAAGGAAAAAACCAACTCCTATAAGTTGTCCTCTGACCTCCATTCGCATGCTGATGGTATGTGTACCCATAGCCCAGCGCACACGTACGCACACACACACACACACACACACACACACACACAGAGAGAGAGAGAGAGAGAGAGAGAGCGCTTACTGCTTTATCAGAGGACCAAAGTTCAATCCTAGCACCTATATCAGGCAGTTTACAAACAACTGTAACTTCAGCTCCACTGCCTGCTTCAGGCCTCTGTAGGCACCTCCACACATCTGCATATACACACACAAACAGACATGCACAAATAAAAAAACAATTTACTGCACACCTTTAATCCTAGTGCTCTGGAGGCAGAGGCAGAAGCAGGCAGATCTCTGAGTTTGAGCCAACCAGGGCCATATAGTAAGACCTTGCCTTAAAAAAAAATGTCCGTAACTCCAGTTCCAGGGGATCTGACAGCCTCTTCTGTCCTCCATGGGCATTGCATGACACGAGTGCATTTACACAATACACACATACACATAAAAAAAAAGGCAGGTGGGGGCTGGAGAGATGGCTCAGCAGTTAAGAGCACTGACTGTTCTCTTGGAGAGGACCCAAGTTCAATTCCCAGTACCCACATAGTGACTAATAACTGTTTGTAACTCCAGTTCCAAGAGAATCCGATGCTCTCTTCTGACTTTGCGGGCATTGCACAATAAAGATGCACTTATATACATGCAGGCAGTACACTCATACACGTTAAATAAAATATTTAAAAAATATATATGCATGCACTCTACCACTAAGCTGCATCCCCAGCTCATATATATGAACATATATGTGTGTGTGCATATATATATATATATGTATATACTTTTTTTTTTTTTTTCTGAGGCAGAGTCTCAATTTGCAGCCCTAACTGGCCTGGAACTTGTTATGTAGATCAGGCTGGCCTCAGTCTCACAGGGATCCACCTGCCTCTGCCTCTGGAGTGTTGGGATTAGGGCATGTACCACCACCCCTAGTATGAATATTTTAAAAATCTCTTATCAAAAAAACAGTGCGGACAAGATGGCTCAATTGGATAAAGCACTTGTTGCACATTCCTGTAACCCATGTAAAGGTGGAATGAGGGAACTCACGCCACAGAGTTGTCCTCTGACTTCTTCATGCATGTCATACATTCATACAAACACACCATGGGTACATAAATAAATACAAATTTTAAAAAAGAAAAAAGGAAGGGCTTGAGAGCTAGTTCAGTGGTTAAGAGTGTTTGTTGCCCTTGCAGATGATCCAGGTTCAGTTCCGAGCACCCACCTGTAACTCTAGTTTCAGAGGATCCAATGCCCTCTTCTGGCCTCCATAGGCATCTGCACATACTTGATGTACATACATACATGCAGGCACTCACACATGCACATGAAATAAAAATAAATTTTTTTTTTTTGGTCTTTTTGAGACAGGGTCTCCCTGTAGCCCCAGCTGTCCTGGAACTCACTATGTAGCCCAGGCTGGCCTTGAACTCACAGAGATCCACTTGCCTCTGCCTCGGAGTGGTGGGATTAAAGGCATGTGCCACCACACCCAGCAAAATAAATATTTTTTTAAAAAAGGGAAAAAAGAGGAACTGGAGAGATTGCTCTGGCTGTTAATAGCATTGGTGCTCTTGCAGAGGAACCAGGTTTGATTCCCAGCACCCACATGGCAGCTACCAATCATTTGTAACTCCATTTCCAGGGAGTCTATGCCCTCTTCTGGGCACAACACACAGGCAAAACACTCATACATTTAAAAAAAATAAATAAAAATTTAAAAAAGAAAGAACAAGTTAAACAGAGAAAGGCCACACACATAGTTATATTAGGTTTTTTTCTTTGAATATTGCAGGCTGGGTAAATACTCTGGTTGGTGGACAGAAGGAAGGAGCCCGAGGTTTTATGTTTTTTATCATTAATGTGGACTTAACTGAAGAGGGGTTATGTAAGTATTGACTGATCTTTTCATTTTGGAATGAAAATTGACTTCCTATGTTTTATTTTTTAATTTCTATGCCATGGGTCTGTCATGTTGAAAAGCTTTACAAACCCTTTAATTCATATGCCTTATCCATTGTATTTTCCATGTGTAACTTGGCCTTTGTTTTGTGATTTCCTCCTACCCCTTAACAACTGGTTTTATGTTATGCTTGTAAAATGTGTACTTGGCTTTCATTTCTTCATTGATTGCCTTAGTAATATTCTGTCACATATCCCTGAGTCCACATGGCCATGTGTGGGAAATCTAAAACCAGACTCAGGGAGGTGAGGACTTCATTTTCTAAGAGGGATATATCCACTTACCTGACTTACCTTAGGAGTGAGCCCATGCTTGAAGGATTCAAGGACTGAATGGTTTTTAAGTGTGCCCCTTTTTTCCAGTACATGTTGAAGATATAATTTTGCACATGTTTCAATACATTCAGAAGTTACGTGCAGAAGGACCTCAAGAATGGGTTTTCCAAGAGTGCAAGGTACTTTTGTTTCACCAAAATTTTTCTTAAGGAATCTATTTTTCAAAAACAAATATATGTGAACTAATTTAAATTTAAAGCCCAGTTAAACTTTTAAGTGCCCTCCCTAATTAAAATATAAAATTTTGCAATGCATAGTACTATTAGTTAAGGCCTGATTTGTTACTTGGGGCACAATTTAGGGGTTAAGGCATCACGTAGCCTTTTTTAATAGGAAGAAAGGAGAAGAAAGTAGATTGCTTTTCTGTCCCTGAAAAGAAAAGAAAACCAACAGTTGTAAAGCTGGCATTTTTCGGGACCTGTCTTACTCCCTGCCTGAAGCTGTATGAACTCTGTCATTTTCACATCTGGTGATAAAACTAGCGAACTCGCAACGAAGCAATAAATTGTTTCATGTATGACTATGTTCTTAAAAGTGATTTTATTGTGCTGGGCGTGGTGGTGCATGCCCGTAATCCCAGCACTGGGGAGGGAGAGGCAGACGGATCTCTGTGAGTTCAAGGCCAGCCTGGTCTACATAGTGAGTTCCAGGACAGCTGGGGCTACAGGGAGACCCTGTCTCAAAAAGACCCCCCCCCAAAAAAAGTGATTTTATTGTATATATAGAAAAGCCTAGCACTCTCTCTTTTTTAATGTATAAAACAGGAAATGTTTGTCCTCAAATTTTAAAAGGCTTCTTTTAAAAGGGATTTAAAAAGGAAAATGCTTTATATATTTAAGACCAATCAAAAATCTGAAACTTTTTTTTGGCCCCTGGTTCTGGACATCAAACGCTAGGCCTTGCACATGCTAGGAAGCTCCCTACCACTGAGCTAAATCCCAGCCTAAGGAATATCCTATTTAACTTGATAAAAATTTTAAAATAGAATTTTGCCTGAGGCAATTATGACAATAATTTTTCATCTGGCTGCGTTTATTTAAATGAGTCACCAAAATACCATCTGTAGAGTATTTGGATTGCACAAGGTTATTTTACCATTTTTCTAATTTGACTAGTAGTTTCAATAATTTAGGCAGTAGAGCCTTTGTATGAGACAGTGTCTCACTGCTTTGCAGTTCGGGCTGGCCTTGAACTTTCAATCCTCCTGCCTCAGCTTCCTGAAGTGCTAGGAATCCAAGTCTGTGCCATCATACCTAGGTCTAGAACCATATCTGTTTATTTTCATTTCAGATTGTTTACTTATTTTACTTTGATTTTAAACCTAGGTTGATAAGTTTTTTTTTTCATGTTTTCTGCATTCCCAAATCAAACACAGCAAATTTTTTATTAAGTGTAATAATGATAAATTTGGAGTACAACATTTATAGTTCAAACAAAACAAAATGTTTTTATAAATAATAACTGGCATATCTCTTAACTGGAGTCTTTTCTATTTTAGGACTTGAATGCTGTTGCTTTTAGGTTTAAAGATAAAGAGAGGCCACGAGGCTATACATCTAAGATCGCAGGAAAATTGCATGTATGTTTATTTTATGGGTTACTATACTTTAATGTGTAGAATGTTTTAGATCCTCCATGTGTTACTTTTGGTGCTACACGTATAATCGAAGTTGAGGCTCTTATAAAACATAAGACATTTTAGCAACTGGACAGTTTTTGATGACAAGATATGTTTGAAATCTTAAAAAAAAATTGCTCTCTGCAGTACTTTGGTTACATAGGCATTTTGCTTATTGATTTTAATTTTTCAGTTCTACAATGTGTCAAGTGTTCCTTCTCTAAAAGTTTCAGATCATCTACTTTTCTCCACTTTGTTACTGCCAGGGTCTATGCTGCTGCCATTTCTGACCTATGTTGCCATCACAGTCTCACCCATTTTCCATATTGTCCCCCACTGAACACAAGAGAGTGTATCATAAGTTTTTCTCCCCAGATTCAGTGATTTTTTAAAAATTTATTTATATTAAGCCAGGCGTGGTGGTACACACCTTTAATCCCAGCACTTGGGACGCAGAGTCAGGCAGATCTCTGTGTAGAGGCCAGCCTGGTCTCAAGTTCCAGGCCACCAGGTCAGCTGTGGCTACAGGGAGACCCAGTCTCAAAAAAAAAAAAAATTACATATATATATTTTTTGGTCTTTTTGAGGGTAGGGTCCCTACAGCCTCAGCTGGCCTGGAACTCACAGTGATCCCAGAGCCTCTGCCTCTGAGTGCTGGGATTAAAAACATGCACCACCATGCCCAACTCAGTGATTTTTTTTTTTTTTAAAGACAAACATTTTAAAAAATTATCAATTTATGGGGCTAGAGAGATGGCTCAACGGTTAACATTACTGGCTGCTCTTGCAGAGGACCCGGGTTTGGTTCCTAACACCCACATAGTGGCTAACAACCATCTGTAACTCCAGTTCCAAAGGATCTGATGCCCTCTTCTGACCTCCGTGAGGCATTGCATGACACTGGTGCACATATATACATGCAGGCAATACACTCATACACATAAATTTTTTTTTATTTTATTTGCTTTGTCTGTTGTGTGTTGCTGGAGTAGAATCAAAACCTCATGAATGCTAGGCAAACTTTCTAAAACTAAACTATATCTCTAGCCCCTCAGAGGTCTTTTAAAAAGTAAAATCAGATTGTTTCATTCTTCCATTTTAAAGTTTTTCAATGGATTTCCCTTAGAGTTGGCATAAAAATCTATGATCCTCCTTGATCTACAGGGTGATTTGAAAGGCACCAGAATATCTAGCCACATTCTATACCACTCTCCAGTCTCCCTCTCCCATTCCCATTCTTTCTTGCTATATTGGCTTTCTGTCTAATTTTCACACATTAAGTTTATCCCTCCCCTTTTTTTACTGTGTTAGAGATTGAACCCAGGGCCTTGTGTTAGGCAAGCACTGTATCCACTAAGCTATATCCTCAGCTACCTCCCTCCTTTCTTTCCTCCCTTCCTCCCTCCTTCCCTCCCTCCTTGAAACAGCATCTGTTTCTCAAGCTGGCCTTGAACTCACTCTGTAGCCCTGACAGACCTTAAACTTTCAATCCTCCTGCCTCAACCTCTAAGTAGCTGGGAGTAACTGGCCTGCACTATCAGGCCTGGCTAGTCCCCTCTTTTAGGGCCTTCACATTTGCTGTTGTCTATATATGAAACTCTTTTATCTGATGATCACATGGTTAGCTTCTCCTTATCGTAGATGTCTCCTTAGGAAGACCTTCCCTGGCCACCCAAACTAAAATAATGCCCTACCTCTGCTTCTTATTTTCTACATAGTACCTATCATTAAAATTACATCATTTGTTTGTTTATTGTCTGCCTCTTCCCAGTTAGAATACATGCTCCTTGGAGGACAGGGCTCCACATCTTTCTACCTTGTATTCACAGTACCTAGAATGCAGCTGGTACAGAGTATGTTCATTAAGTTTTTATTGAGTGAATCAGTCAGGCTGGTTCAGTATTTTGGAAGTTGCTTTTACTAAGAAAAACTTCTACATTTTTCTTCACTAACAAAAATATAACCCATCTCTTCCTATAGCTTTCTAAATGTTTAATTTCATTCATAGAAATTTGAGAGAAAATTCTATTTATAAAAATGTGTGTACTTGGGGGCCAGAGAGATGGCTCAGCATTTAAGACCCATATTCAATTCCCAGCACCCACATGACAGCTGCTAACAACTGTCTATAACTCCAGTTCCAGGGGATCCAATGCCCTCTTTTGGCCTCTGCAGCCTTTGTAATACATGGGTGCATTTACATACATGAAGGCAATACACTCATACACATAAAATAAAAATATAAATAAAACATTTTTTTTAAATGTATACACTTAAGCTGGGTATGGTGGTGTGGTGCACACCTTTAGTCCCAGCACTCAGGAGGCAAAGGCAGGGGGATCTCTGTGAATTCGAGGCCAGCTTGGTCTGCATGGTAAGTTCCAGGCCAGCTGGGGCTACAGGGAGACCCTGTCTCAAAAAGACCAAAAAAAACAAAAAAAAAAAAAAAAAAAAAAAAAAAAAAAAAAAAAAAAAAGTACGCACTTTGTATTAAAACCCTGTAGGCGTCAGCAGTATTTCATTGTCAATTTTTCTCCATTCATATCAGTTTTTAATCAGAATTACTATAATTTTTCCTCAAAAGAAATGTGAGATCTGATATGGTCGCTCATGCCTGTTGGAGCCTAATGTAGGATAGTGAGTTCCAGGCTACCCTGGGCTAGAGAATAAGCTTGGACCCAGGGATGGCTGTGAGAGTGTTTGTTAGTATACTCAAGGCCCTGAGTTCAGTCTCCAGCACTGTGAAAAATGAAGATGTGGTAGGAGAGGGAAGAGCACTTAGGACTACAGAAAGTTTCCTAATGGAGAAAATGTACTTGAAGGAAAGTGGCATATAAAAGAATAGATTTGATATGTTAGAGCTCTATTTACCTTAATAAACCTGGTGGTAGCCTTCAAACATTAATTATTTGTATTTTTCTTTAAAGTATTATCCCCTAAATGGAGTACTCACAGCTGAGTATTTACTGGAAGAATTTAGACCTGACTTAATAGACATGGTCCTTGATAAACTCAGGCCAGAAAATGTCCGGTAAGTCATCTACAGATTTACTATTATATTAGAAATTTTTCTCATGATTAGAATCTGAAAATTAGTGGTTTTATATAAAATGCTTTGGATTTTTAAAAACAAAATACAATTACAAACTTGGTGTGATGGCATGTACCCATAATCCTAGTGCTTTGGAGGCAGGAGTTCAAGGCCAGCCTTAATTGTGTATGTAGTAAGTTTGAGGCAAACTTGGAATACATGAAGCCCTTTTTCAAAATACAATTTAAAAACTGATTGCAAAAGAACAGTGTGATGACTGAGTATGGTGGCACATGCTTTTAATTCTAGCACTTGAGAGGGAGAGGCAGGCAGATCTTTGTGAGTTCAAGGCCAACCTAGTCTACATAGTGAGTTCCAGACCAGCCAGGGTTATTGTCTCAAAAAAAAAAAAAAAAAAAAAAAAAAAGATATAATGAACTAATACCAAGGACCCCAACCATCAATACATGATTAATCTTTTATCTAGAACCCACCCGTCTTTATTCATCCTCCTTCTAAAGTCAAGTGATAGAAATTGCATTTTATTTAAGTTTTTTTTTTTTTTTTGGTTTTTTTGAGACAGGTTTTCCCTTTAGCCCGAGCTGTCCTGGAACTCACTATGTAGACCAGGCTGGCCTTGAACTCACAGAGATCCGCCTGCCTATGCCTCCCAAGTGCTGGAACTACAGGCATGCACCACCGTGCCCACCAAGATATTTATTTTTATTTTATGTGTATGAGTGTATTGCCTGTATATATGTAAGTGTACCTGTGTTGTGCAATGCCCATGGAAGTCAGAGGAGGGTGCTGGATCCCCTGGAACTGGAGTTATAGATAGTTAGCCACCATGTGGATGCTGGGAATAGAACCTGGCTGCTCTACAAGAGCAACCAGTGCTCTTAACTGCTGAGCCATTTCACCAGCTCCAGAAATAACATTTTTAAAAAACAAGGGGATGGAGAGATGGCTCAAAGGTTAAGTGCACTGGCTGCTCTTCCAGAGGACCCAAATTCAGTTCCCAGCATCCACATGGCAGCTAATAACCATCCATCACCCCAGTTCCAGGGAATCCAATGCCCTCTTCTGACTTCCATGGGCATTGTACAACATAGGTGCAGTTACATGCAGGCAAAACACTCATACACATAAAATTAAAAAAAAAAACAAAAAACAAATTCAAACTCAGTCCATCTGGTCCCCCCCCCTTTTTTTTTTGTTTAATACAGGCTCTGACTCTGTAGCCTTGGCTGGCCTGGAACTCGCTATGTAGACCAGGCTGGCCTGGAATTCACAGAGATTGACCTACCTCTACCTCCTGAGTGCTTAAAGCCCTGTACCACCACACCTACCTTTCCTATATTCTTACTTCACATGTCAGGTGAGTGGAGGGTTTTCCCTCTTCCACCTCTCCTGCTATAGTAGTAGACATAATCCAAGTGTCCTTTAATCCAGCATAGCTCAGACACTGTCCTAAGATTTAGTTGAATATTTTATTTACTGATAGAGTATATGGATAAGTACAGATTATTATCAAACTTTTAGATTTTTTTTGTTTTTGTTTTTTTGAGACAGGGTCTCCTTGTAGCCCCAGCTGTCCTGAAACTCACTATGTGGACCAGGCTGGCCTCAAACTCACAAAGATCTGCCTGCCTCTGCTTCCCAAGTGCTAGGATTAAAGGCATGCGCCACCATGCCCAGCCCAAACTTTTAGAATTTTTTTAAAAATATTCTATTTATTATTTTTATTTTATGTGTATGAGTCCTATGTGTATGAGTAAGTGCACCGATGTTGTGCAATGCCTGTGGAGGACAGAAGAGGCTGTTGGATCTCCTGGAACTGGAGTTACAGACAGTTGTTAGCTGCCATGGTGGGTGCTGGGATTCGACCTGGGTCTTCTACAAGAACAGTCAGTGTTCTTAGCCGCTGAGCCATCTCTCCTGCCCACTTTTAGAATTTTTTTTTTAAACTTTTTTTAAATTTAATTTTTTAAATTTATGTGTATGCGTGTATGTGCACTCCTGTTGTGCAATGCCCACAGAGGTCAGAAGAGGCAGTCAGATCCCCTGGGACTGGAGTTACAGACAGTTGTTAGCTGCCATGTGGGTGTTGGGATTTGAACCCAGGTCTTCTGCACAATAACCAGTGTTCTTAACTGCTGAGCCATCTCTCCAGCCCCCACTTTTAGATCTTTTTGAGACAGGGTTTCCCTGTAGCCCCAGCTGTGCTGGAACTCACTCACTATGTAGACTAGGCTGAGGCTGGCCTTGAACTCACAGAGATCCACCTGCCTCTGCCTCCCGAGTGCTGGGATTAAAGGTGTGTGCCACCACACCTGGCTATATATTTTTTAATATTTTATTTATTATTTTATTTATGTGTATGAGTGTATTGCCTGCGTGTGTGTAAGTGCACCCGTGTCATGCAATGCCCACGGAATCAGAAAGGGTGTTGGAACTGAAGTTATGGATGGTTGTTAGCCATCATATGGGTGCTAGAATCGAACCCAGGTCTTCTGCAAGAGCTGTCAGTGCTCTTAACTGCTAAGCCATCTCTCCAGCCCCAATGTCATGATTTTTTATTTTTATTTTTTTAAGTTTAAGAGAAATTTTATTGATTCAAGAATTTCATACAATGAATTTTCATTATATTCAGACCTCCTGCCCTATCTGGATCCTCACCTTCCAGCTTCCCAATACCCTAACTTCATGTCTTCTATTAGTAAGACATGAAATGAAAAGCCCCAATCCATCTTACATAATCCATCTGAGCTGGATACAGGAGAAATCATATCTTATTAGAGTGTCAGTGATCTATAATTCTTACATAGTGGTGTGCCAAAGTAAGGACCCACTCCCTTTCCTTTGTACGTAGTTTTGGGTCACAATACAGCCAAGTTTCTTGGACTAGAATTTTCACTCTTAATTTCTGGCCTTACTGCTTAGGAATGGCTAGTAGGGATTTCTCAGGGATCAGAAATGCTTGGTTTTCCTCATCAACATTACTTGTTCACAGCATGCAGGTTACACTTTGGCTGTTTCTGGTCCTCACTCAGCACAAGGATCCTACTGTGGACCAATGCAGTCTCCCACAGGCTGATTCCACACAAGGTTTTACTGTGGATAAAAGCAGAAGCTAGGTACAGCAGGCAGCAATCAACTCACAGGCCTCCAATCCAAGATTCTCTCAGTGGCAGTTGGGAGGTTTCACAGCTTCACATGACAGCTTGACACCAGTGTCCTCTGGTTTATTTTCTGAAATCTGTAGATGGCTCAGATTCCTGATGTTGTTGAGGACTGCAGCCAGGTGCTGACAACCACTGGGTGATGATCTTGGTGACTGAACCTTGACTTTGCTGGTGTGAATGGGCAGCTAGACTGACATGGTATATGTGTGGGACTTCATCATTGTGGCTTCCCAGTTATTTTCTGTCTTACTTGCCAGGTCCTGTGTTCAGAATTTTGATATCATTATAGAAGCATCAAGATTATTATTACTATTTTTTGTCATTTTGAGTCAGGGCCTTCTGTAGTTCCAGTTGGCCTGGAACTCACTAGGTAAACCAGGCTGGCCTTGAACTCACAGAGATCCACCAGCCTCTGCCTCCCGAGTGCTGGGATTAAAGGCATGCACCACCACACCCAGCTTAAGCATCAGGATTCTTAATAAAATGGGGCTGGAGAGGTGGCTTATCAATTAAGAGCACTGGCTGCTCTTACAGAGGACCTGGGTTTGAATACCAGCACCACATGATGGCTAACAACTGTTCATAACTCCAGTTCTAAGGGATCTGACACCCTCTTCTGACCTCCAAGGGCATTGCATGACACAGGTACATCTACCTACATTCAGGCATAACTCTCATACACATTAAATAAAAATAAAAAATTTTTAAAAATTAAAAAAAAATCTCAATAAAAGGAAGAGGCCCAGAGCATGTTTCAAGTCCTTGTGCTGAGAGTCGCTGTCACTACCATTGCTTCAGCTGCATCGCCATCTTGGCTCCCAGTTATTTTCTCTCTTACTTGCTAAGTCCTGAGTTCAGAATTTTCCGATCAGTTTAGAAGCACCTATGATTGGATAAATCTTCATCTTGTGTGATAAGGTGGTCACATGGTCCCAGCCCCAAGGTCAGCTGCCCAGGATACATCTTATTTCTAGCCATCTTTTCTCTCAACACAGTCACTGTGAGCTGTCTTGTCATATTCCTTCTTGTTATTCCTCCAATCACAAGAAGGTAAAATATGTCTCCTGTTCAATTTTTATTTTCTTAAAGACAAAGTCTCACTTTATAGCCCTGACCTCAAAGTTGTGCTGATCCTTCTACTTCAGCCTCCCAAGTGCTAGAATTACAGGAGTGCACAATCATACTAGCCTTTGTTTGTTTGAGTCTCATGTAGCCTTGGCCTGCCTCCAACTCACTGTGTAGCTGAGGAAAACCTTGAACTCCTAAGCCTCCTGCTTCAGCCTCCCAAGTGCTGCAATTTCGGATGTGCACCACCACCACATCTGGATTCCCATTCAGTCCTCTTGCCAGTATTTTAAATCCAGAGTTGTTGCCTAATCCTTAATTACTCAAAATTTGACTATGATGTGGAAAATCTGGACTGAAGAGATGACTCAGTAGTTATGAGCACTACTGCTCTTGCAGAGGAGTTCTCAGCACCTACATGGTGGCTAACAACCATCTGTAGCTCCATTTCTAGGGGATGTGATGCCCTCTCCTGACCTCCTAGGGCATTGCATATACATGGTACAATTATATTACATGCTCACAAAACATTAATATACATAAAATAAAAACGAATAATTTAAGACCTGGGTAAGGTGGTAAATACCTTTAATTCTAGCACTCTGGAACCAGAGCCAAGCTTTGTTAGTTCAAGGCCAACCTGGTCTGCATAGTAAGTCCCAGACCAGCCAGTACTACTATATGGTGAGACTCTGTCTCAAAAATATATTTATTTTTAAATTTGGAAAACCCTGCTAAAAACTAGATGTT